GGAACGCCTCGGATCGCTCTGCAGCGAGCCAATGTTTCTCATAGTCCATGACACCAAAACCTCTCGAGGGGTTCATAGCAAGTCATTTCTTCAATTTTGGGAACAAACCAGCAAAAAATGAAGTTTCCTAGCATTGATCAATGTTGGGTTAGGGTGCACCCATGCGTCCGAGTTCCATTCGGAAAAAATAGTGGTAGTTGGATGCGTATTCACCCCATGAAAATCTTTTTGTGGGTTAGCTGATGGGAGCAGGTTAAGCTTTCATTCGTCCGGGCGAGTCTGGGACCGACTAGCAACCGCGAAATAGATTGCGGCTTGGTTTATCCTGGCTGGTAACGAGCCGGGATTTGATTTCAGGATTTTTGATAACAATCAAAGTTAAGATAGTCTAGAAAACTCTGAATACTTGTTGAAAACAGTTGTTCTCTCCCGATGACGGTTGGATATTCGCCCTGCCGTCACCACAACCGGGATCTCATCTAAATTTGGATCTCCGGGAGAGCCAGCTATCCCTCCCAAGTGTTTCAGAATTCTTTGCTCAAGTTTTTTTTTACGAAAGCTAGTTGTAATGGGTCAATGTAGCCTTGAAGTAAATAATTGGGAGAACTTTTTCAGATACAACGTGTGTATATTTGCCTATGGACAGACGGGTGGTGGCAAATCGTATACGATGATGGGAAAACCGGGTGACGAGAGCGAAATGGGGATCATACCTCGGCTTTGTAATGATTGTAAGTTTTGCTTTGTGTGTTTGTTTAACATTGCGTCGTGTACTGCTCTGCCACACAGGTTTGCTGAGGTAGAACTGCTTTAGTTGGTCAATGACTGCCTAATTGGACCCTTCGGTAAGGCTCATCACTACAGCTGGTCCCTTTTTTAACAGACTGTAATTTGTCCACCCTTCCCCTGCCGTTCGTATTTTCCTGGAACCATTCCGAGTTGAGGAAGATCTAGCTGATTCTGCTCATTTGAACTTCAGCAGGTTGTCGTCGTCAAAGAACTGAAAGTGAAGTTCCTGGCTGGAGACTGCCCCGACCAAGCACCCAAAAGCACAAGGCTAAGTAGTTGTAACGACTCCCAGAAACCCGAACGAACGGAAACCGAACTCGGCCAAGTGATACTAGTAGTGATTTTAAAAACTACCCAGGCTCCAAAAAGACCGAATGTTAAACTCAGAAGTTTTTGAGGACTACGCTTACTTCATTTTCTTGTGGATTGACTGTAGATACCACTTCAACCGTTCTAGTTAGGATTAGCTACCAAGCACTAAGCTTGTATGAGCCTGACTCGGGTTAGCGGGACATGGTCTAATAATACCATATCTTGAACTCGGTTCTAACAATAATTTGAAGCACGTCAGTAGCTTTCTCCAGTCACATTTGTATTTTCAGTATTTGCTCGAGTGAAAAGCTGCACGGACTCCAACGTACAGTACTCGGTCGAAGTGTCCTACATGGAAATTTACTGTGAACGTGTGAAGGATTTGCTGAATCCAAATAGCGGAGGTAGTAGCATGATTTTCCCTTCATTTTGTGATTCTTTCTTGCTCCATCTTGGTGCCCTCCAAGGTATCGTTCAACCTCGTTCGGTGATGCACCCATGTGCTCACCTTCCATCCAGGATTTCAAAGGTGTTTGAATGCTTGTTTTGTACATTAATTGCACTTAGGTTGGATGAGGGGCTAGATGGGAAAGGCAGCTAATCTACAGATAAGTGATTCTGTCTTCCCGAACGAGTCCGTGTCATTTAACTACGATCGGTGGAGGGCTACGTTGACTTTGTATCTAAGACTTTTTCTATATTCCAAACAAATGGAATCGAGTTCAACGGCATCACCGACTTATAGCATAGCACTCTGCAAACTGTCTCCGTCCTCTGAATTCAGTATCTCTCAATCTCATCTTTCTGAAGCGATTGATTAATTTTGCCCTGGGGATGTAGGAGAGAGCGGAACGGTTGATCACTCTGACATTCGCCTGCTCTATCTAGGGACCAACTTAGTGTTCCGATACGATACTGCTCCCAGTGAGCTATGATTTCTAGAAGGAAAATATGAGTTTGAACTTTTAGGGGACCTGGTGGCAAGTTGATTTCATCAACCGGAATCGAATAGAAATGTTTGGTCGCGTCCATGCAGCGACCCCTAAAATTCCGCGTGTTGACACATCTGACCGAAAGAAGTTTGAGTCAATCGTTTTCCAGGAAATCTTCGGGTTCGTGAACATCCTCTCCTTGGACCGTATGTGGATGACTTGACAAAAATGGCTGTCTGCTCTTACCAAGATATCTGCCACCTTATGGACGAAGGGAACAAAGCTCGGTGAGTGTGGACGAGTTTCTTCATGCTGAAAGTATGTTTCCCAGAGTTATTTTCATCCAAAAAGTATTTGGCACTGTCTGACCAAACGGTTGGCATTTCATTATGTTCTCATATCCTCATCATTAGTGAGGATAGGTTTTTGACAAGGAGAAAAAGCAAACAGACCCTCATTGTGAGATATTGATTGGAGTTCCCAGCCACAGCCTTTGGTGGAATCATGCCTTATCGTAAATGGGAGATTTTGGTGGAAGAAATACTGTAGATACTTTTGTTTTCAGAACGGTGGCAGCGACTAACATGAACTCTACATCGTCTCGTTCTCATGCCGTCTTCACTATAGTTTTAACACAGAAGCGGCACTGTCCTGATGCAAATCTGGACACTGAGAAGGTTATTTTCAGATTCTACCTTTTGTTAGGCTCGAACTGATCTCACAAAACTACCCTGAAGCGAAGCGCTATTCTCAGTGTAGGGACGACTTTTCCGTCAGGGTCAGTGGACCTCACTGATGCCTGTCGGCAGTCTTCAATAGCGTCTTCTTGTAACCATTATCGTGCCTTTTCAAAACTGATCTGACTGAAGCGTACCTCGTTTAAGGTCTCCAAGATCTCACTGGTTGATTTGGCTGGAAGTGAACGGGCTACCTCAACAGGTGCTGAGGGCCAGCGACTCAAGGAAGGAGCGAATATCAATAAAAGTCTGACAACGCTTGGCCTGGTTATCAGTAAGCTTGCCGAAGAGGTGAGTGCTCCTTACAATGTCTGCAGAGGGCATTTCAATTCTTTTGTGAAAAATCGAGTTGAATCCTGGAGATCATTGTGCACATGCAGCTTTTCCAATATTTTAGAGCATAGATAGCGGTGAAGTGAGTTCTTTCTTGAGTTCCTTATAGCAACGTGTGACTAACAGTATTCAGCGCTACCTAAAAATTTAACCAAACTTGCTCTTTGTCTGCTTCTTAGCTTATCGTTGTTGTTGAGCATCGCTCGGAAGGTAGCGATTCAGGCTGGCAAGAAGTCAAAACGTGGCAAAGGTGTGGTACCGTATCGAGATTCGGTACTTACTTGGCTACTTCGTGAAAACCTTGGCGGAAATTCGAAGACAGCAATGATTGCAGCTCTCTCTCCGGCCGATATCAATTTTGATGAGACGCTCAGCACATTACGGTAAGTACGGCATGCGGTGATAGTACCACCTGTGGATATTGTGGCCTAGTGGTAATAATTTTTATTTGGCTGCATACTGAAACTCCCATTCCAGCCCGATACTCACACACTATTTGAGACGTTTTGGCCTTAGCATTGGCCGGTATCCTCGATAGCTCGCGAAAGCAGAATCGCTGCCTTTTTCGTTAGTGGTGGAGGAGGAATCAGCATGATTTGGCACTGTTTGTTGATTTATTGTAGTTCAAGTGAAATGAGTAGAGCGTGCATCAACTCAAGGGTCCCCACTCTGATTTTTTCGTTCGACGTAGTTTCTTGGTACCTGCACCCGTGGTTTCCATCTCGAAGAAACTTTGGTTCAGTTGTGAGCCGTGCCCAACTGCCAGAATTATCCCTTGCATAAGTGATTTTTGAATTCTGATTGTTGGAAGGAATGCTCTTTTTCTTCCCAATCTACCGATTCCTCTTTCTAGTTATGCCGATCGCGCTAAGCAGATTGTTTGTCAAGCTGTGGTCAACGAGGATCCGAATGCGAAACTTATACGTGAACTTAAGGAAGAGGTTAGTTGAATTTCATCGAACCTCAGAAGAGTGGCCTTTCTAAAAGGATGCTCCACATTTCAAATTATTTTTGCTCTAGGTTAATAAGCTTCGAGCCATATTGGAAGAGAAAGGAATCGATGTCGCAGCGGACGATATGAAGACCTCACAACCAGGTCGACCTCGACAACTTTATTCGGCCCGCGATCATGACACCATCGAACAGCTTAAGGTACGGTTCAGTTGCGACCTCTGCTTGAATTGTAGAGAAGCTTCTCCGAGCCAGGAAATTGAAAATCGGTGCCTATGGTAACTGTCCAAAAGTTTGATATATCGTTAGAAAGAAGAAATCAGATGTTGGTAGGGGAACGACTGAGGAGGGGAACGACTGAGGCTTGAAGTTTTGAAATTAAAGGCACGTGAGTCCCTTATGTGAAAACTCCAGGATTTCACTGGATGGGATGGGGCTTGCTTCAAAAAAAAGCAGTAGTGGTAATTACTAAAAACCATCATATCTGTATAATACTGCCATTTATTTNGCCTATGGTAACTGTCCAAAAGTTTGATATATCGTTAGAAAGAAGAAATCAGATGTTGGTAGGGGAACGACTGAGTAGGAGAACGACTGAGGCTTGAAGTTTTGAAATAAAAGGCACGTGAATCCCTTTTTGAAAACTTCAGGATTTCTACTGGATGGGATGGGGCTTGCTTCAAAGAAAAGCAGTAGTGGTAATTACTAAAAACCATCATATCTGTATAATACTGCCATTTATTTGGGCAGGGGTCTATGATACGGAATATCTTGTTCGTTTGGTCACCATTCCCGTTTCCGTCCTTGGGAGTTCTGATCCGTTTTTTGATATCCGACAGCTCACTTCGTTTAATGGACATGGGGAATTTTTTTTTCTTCTCTTTTCCGTAATCGTCGAAACTCGAGCTGTTTTCCCCCTTTTCCGCCTCTTCAAGTTTCAAGATGAAGGGAAACCGGGACAAGAAGATTAAAAAAGAGGCGCCTCAATTTATTTATAGCTGGGCTTTCCATAAAAGCTCTTTGGAATGTCTGTATTTTCCACGAATTTCCTGGAAATCATCAGTGGCTAGATGTTCATTCGGCGTTTCTCATTAAACTGCTCTTTCCGTTGAAGGGGAGACCCTTGTATGCCATCATTTCGTCCATGACGTCAAATTTAGGCAATGCCCATCGGTTTTTCTTTTTCTGAGCGACATTTTTAGGCATCCGAAAAGCTCATCGCTGAACTTCATGAGACGTGGGAGGAGAAGCTACGAAAAACTGAGGAGATTCGTCGTCAACGCGAAGAAGAATTGAGGGAAATGGGTCTCGCAACTACAGAAGACGGCACAACACTAGGAGTTTTTAGCCCGAAGAAGGTAAATGAGTTTCTCGTATTCCAAAAACCGAAGGCGAAGGGTTCAAAGGGGACATGCACATGCGTAGAGATGGTTGGTATTGCGAAGATAGTTTTTCACTAGCCTTGAACTGAACATTCTTTATACTCAATTCCAGCTTCCGCACTTGGTCAATCTCAACGAGGATCCGCTCATGTCAGAATGTCTACTTTACTACCTGAAAGAAGGAATAACAAGGTAATTAAAATCTTAGTCGATATCTTTCATTGCTGAAAATGGAGGACTATAGAAGCAGCTGCACAGACATTTTATGAAGGCTGTTTCTGGGAAATGAACACTTCTCTCGGTCAGAAAATTGGGAAGAAATGTCCATGAGCTAGGCGAAGCCATGGGAGAAAGTGAGGTTAATTGGCTAGGAAATGCCATGGGGTTGGGTAAGCTCTGAAATGCCTCATTCATTGGTTAAGTAGAAGGCTTTAGCGCTATGCATTTAATTGATTTTGATGTTCAATTTTCATGAAAGGAATTTTTCAGTGTTGGCCGTCCAGAAGCTTCAAAACGTCCTGACATTCTACTCTCGGGACAAGCAATTTTGGAACATCATTGCGATTTTGTGAACGAGGATGGTAGTGTTAGCCTTGATCCAAAGAAGGTTAGTGCAAGTTACACCTATACTTAGCCCACAGTAAGCTAAGGAATATGTACTGCTTCAGGATGCGCAGTGCTTCGTGAATGGACGTCCAATCAAGGGCCCAACAATACTGCATACTGGATCACGTGTTATACTCGGCAACTATCATGTGTTTCGCTACAATGATCCACAAGAGGCCAGGCAGAGTCGGCACAATTTGTCGTCCTTAACCGGTATACGCTTATCAAGTAACGGATAAAACGAGTGAGACGTTTTGAGCTGATCTATCTCGGATGCCCTGAACTTTTTACATAGAATAATAATAATCTCTATTTGAAAAAGTAGGATAGCAAGCCCGCCCAGATTGATCGGGCTATAATACGGTACTTCGATACCGTACCACACATACGATAATGGCCGCTTGACCTTAACTCATATGCATGCGCTCGCATTCAACAGGGAGATTTCCACAATTTCGGTTTTCATAGCGGGGATTTTCAATTTGTTGGAAGCTATAGGTTTTTTGACTAATACCTTTTATAATTTCGTGATGAGATTTTTATTGCCGTGAATGACTGGAAAGTTCAAAAACATAGAAGTAAAAATAATAAAAAGTAAGTTGAGAGCAGCATCACGAAGTCACAGTCGTTTTATGCAAATCCTGATCAGAGCTGAAAAGGGTGTTTTCGCAAAAAAAAACCGAAATTTTGGGAATTGGCGGAGTTTAGAGGTGAGGGCCAAGCGTATCACCTCAAGCAAGTGGTGCTAATTTCTGATTTTTGGTGATTGACCACGTCAATTCCGCGATTCAATCCATTTTTCGAATAAGCAATCTTTTTTGCTGCGGTGACGTGATCGTATGCCTGCCTGCCTGTTCTTTTTGAAAATTAATTATTAGAACTCGTTTTGTATTCTATTCATCTACTGCATTTGCTTTGTCCTCAGTTCTCTCCGAGTCTGCAATCAGAGAGGGCATTTGAGTGTATTGGCCGTTTCTCTTTCGAACTATGCGCACGCACTGCTGGACACCCCCTGCCGGAAATACAATCAAACCAACGCTCAGCTCATCCTCGGCGACCTCTGCCGCCAACACTCAACTCCTTCATCTATTCCTCGTCATTTCAGAACAACCTCTCGACTGGAAATATGCCCAACAAGAGCTGTTGGAAAAACAGGGTATCGATTTGAAGGTGGAAATGGAAAAGAAACTTCTCGAAATGGAAAGCCAATATCGACGTGAACGTGAAGAACTTGAACTGAAAATGCTACGTCAGACTAAGGTCGGTTTAATCACTATCTTCTTGGAAATTTCTTGGTAGTATTTTTACCTTATACAGTAGCGCTCAAAAGTCTTCGGTGAAATGCTTCTGCAGTCATACATTTCAGTCGTAACTCCTTTCCTAGTGGATCGAATCGTGCGAAATTTTAATATGTGTAGCACGGGTGTATTGCGATCATTTACCACTATTAACCTGCAATCTGACAATGTTCCAGATATCCCAAAGGGCTTAAACAAAAAATCAACTGGAACTACAAATGATAGCCCTTCTGGAATTTCTTTCCTTTTTGCATGTCGAAAGTTTCTAAAGCGGTAATGCCGAACACAATAGATGAGAAAAACGCACATAAGGTGCGAATAAGTGCAGACGTCAACAACTTTATTTTAGCAAAATCTGCTACCGCTTGCTCTATCTGTAGATGTTGCAGCTTCGTAGTCAAATAGCGTTGGGTAGGGTGAAATATGCTCTAGTTGAACATATCCGAATTTCGCGCGATTTGGTCTACTAATAAAAAAGTTGTGAACGAAAAAGCGTCAAAGCATTTCACCGAAGACTTTTGAGTGCTACTGTATATCTTATTTTTATGTCTATATTTTTGTATTTGTTCTTTATTTATGGACACATCCTTTAGGAGTACGAAACACGTATTGAGAGTCTACAGAGACAGGTTGACTTAGCGCAGTCCATGATCAGCTCATGCGGTTCCGGTTGGGAAGGAGAACGATTCCTCACAAGTTCTCTTATGGAATTTGGTTAGTTTTTCTTCTTTTCCCTCCAAATATTTTCATTTTATCCAGCGGGTTGAATAATTCATCCTAACTGTGTATTCAAATGCATATCTCATACCAAATGCACTTGGTTTTTCTATATGCGGTATTACGAGTGACTGAATAACCTTCATATCAGTAGGGTAACCCATTCCCAAGAGAGCCATGAATTTTATATTAATACATACTTGTAAGATTATATGTCACACAGTTTGTTCTCGCTCTCGTAAAAACCGATAATTTTGATCAATACTAGTACTTTGGAAACATAAGGCCTTATGTTCGCATAGTTACCCCTGGAATCGAGGGCATTCAATCCATCTGAGAAACAAGTGATATAAATGAGTTGAAGAAGACAATGAACTCAATGTGATTTTTGCAGCCGAAGAATGTAAATGGACAATCGGTCAAGAGAAGGTGGCCCGAAAAGCCGCCATCAAGTGGAGATACCACCAGTTCACTTCGGTGCGTTGGAATCCTTTCGAATCTGAGCTACTAATTATATTCCAATTGATTTGTGCAGTATCTTTGAAGATTAGTAGTCCCATGGCATTTCATCGTTCCAACGCCAAGGGAAATCCATAGCATATATCATTTGGAGCTCGAGGACCAACTTTTTCAGGTCAGAGACGATTTGTGGGGCAATGCGATATTTGTGAAGGAAGCAAATGCGATTTCAGTTGAACTGAAAAAGAAAGTCCAATTTCAGTTTGTCCTGTTGACTGACACTATGTACAGGTACGTGATTGTTTTCACTCAGCCAGTTTCTGATTCTTGTTGATCGAATCACGAAAACTAAGTTCCTATCCCACTCATTAGAACCCCTGCCACTTTGGGGTTCTAATGGGAGGCGTTCACCAAAATTTTTGGCAGACGGTATGCTCAATGCGATATGCTCTCAACGACTTGTATATTACAATATTCAATAAATAGCTAGTAAGTATTAAGAACATTCGTTCTATTTTTAGCCCATTGCCACCGGATCTGTTACCACCTGGCGAGGATCTCACCCTTCGACCATATCCGAAAACAGTCGTCGCCATCCAAGTGCAGGATCTCAAAAATGGTGCCAGTCACTATTGGAGTATTGAAAAACTTAAGTAAGCTCATTATTGTTCACTATTCGGTGTAAATCCAGTAGAAAAATCCTGTTGTTATTAGAATATAATCGTTTTAGTCGCCTCTTCTAGAATACTTGCATCCTAGCTTACCTAGTGGTAGCCAGAGCTTTGCTTCCTAGACGTCAATCCGAACGAAAAATACAATATCTTAGAAACGTCTTTTGAAAACTGACCATGTTACATTTAAGTTGAGCCAATCGAGTGCTGATCGTTCCCATAACTTATTTCCATGTTTCCGACATGAGTTTTCATTCTGGATATATATCAACGGAGTCCCTAAGGCACAGGTTACGATGACTTAGAGGTACCTTTTTATGTTGGAAAGCTATTTGTGAAAAATAGTGCACCGGTGACCAAGAAAGCGAAAAAAAAGTAGGGGAAGTCGTGAAATATAAGGCTGAAGAAGTAAAGGTGGGGTCGTACGAGATTACCAAGCGAAAATCCGGGCATTTGGACGAGATTCCATTTGGTGTACTTACGTAATGAACTGGCTAATCTATCCATAAGTCAAAATGGAGAATTTCGTCCCACTGTCGCCATGGGTTACTAATGTTTGAACTTCCGTATGCATGTCCCTTATGAATGGGGCAGCCTCTACATTGCCGTTACAACTCGTCCATTATGGGTGTGGCAAAGGACCGGTTCGATCTTTGAGTCTTTATTGCGCCCTGTTCATGCGTTTTCTGATCTACAAGTTCCACAAATAACATATTTGGATGCCACGGACTCATTCCAGGGACATAACTCGGAAAGCATTTTTTCGTTAACTGTGCCTACTTGTTGTGGTTGCACGAAATCACGTAATCTCAAACCTAACCCTAACCATTAGATGCAGTAAGATTGGTTATGAACTTTACCTTGGAAATAACTTTTTTTTTGAAATTTCGATCTCACCACATGAGTATTTTTTCTTTGCATTTTTCTTCGACAAGGAATTCGTCGATTAGTGCCAGGGCTACAACCACAGCGAGTCATCCCTAGACGCACTCACTTTTCAGAATACATACCACTTTTTGATATTTCTGTGATGTTACGAACTTTTCCTGGAGAATCGTTTACCCACAATTCAACTACAACATTTCTCAAACCTGCTTGCCTGACAGACTCTCACTCCGGCTACCGTACCCGTATGTCTCTTATAGGCAGCGCTTGGAAGATATGCGTAGTTTCTACAACGCCGAACTGTCCGTGGTTGGCACACCTGCTGATCCACCATATAAAACGGTAGCCGAGGGATGGCTGGCGGCGCTGCAACTGAATCCAGCCCGTCTCGTGCCCGACAGGTACGGTAGCCTGTCCTACTGCACTCGTGCACGCTTCTCTCTTTCCATATGATGCATGTGCTGAATGAGTACTGCATGATAATCCTCAGAGGGAACCTCTCCTCTGATGGCCACCTACTGCATGACTCCCATTGCACATTCTGTACTTCCTGTTGAATTGAGTGCAGCACTGGCTTTTTGGAGCTCTGCTGGACGCGACCAGACAGTAAAGTTAATATGAAATTCACCATTACAGGCAGCGTCTCGAATCTATGCGTGATATGTACGAAGCCGATCAGCTCAGTCCAAGTGATGATCCGATGATGGAGGCGCTTATGGGTACCGATCCATTCTACGATCGCTTCCCGTGGTTCCGAATGATTGGAAGGTTGGTGGCGCCATTTTTGTGAAACTTGATCTGCCAGATATCCTGTAGAAGCCCATGGGCAGTGCTAAGTTACAATGCTCCAATTTATTCACAGCTGTGGTAATTCAAATAGGAGAAGTATGTTGAAGAAAGAGCTATTAGAAGATACTGCTTGTACTGCATTGGCACCCCTAGAAAATACTTCCTTTCACTTGCTTCTATGAAAAAAATGTACATTGCGTTCCATATGTGCAAGATCACCTTCAAATTTGGTGTTTACAAGATAAGTATCCAACAGATAAGTTATAAGCGCTACTATCATATTCACCATCCTAAATGACCCCCACGCACGGATATTTCTTGCATCTGCTTCTACCGTAACATTTTTATAAATAATTTTTGAATTTTTCGCCGTTCCATCACTATAAAATCACTTTGAAAACTTGAAAAAATCATCATTAGTAACGGCAAAAAAATATTTTTTGGTTGATGGGTCTTCCTTGTTCTAGCCAAATATCGAATAGCCTACTCTCGCCGGAGATTTCATTCCAAGATTCAAGTACATGCCTGCTTGAGCTCTTCCATCGTCTGAAACTGGCAATTTTTTTTACAATGATGCCCCACAGATTTTCCATCGGGGCTGCAAGCTGGCCATGTTAGAACTTCGAAATTTTGGGAAAGGAATATGTCTTTCGTGGAATGTCTAGCTTGGATCGTAGCACTGTCCTGCTGAAAAACGTGGTTAGGACCAGGTCGTTGCGCCGACTAGAGTTGATTGGCTCTTTTCGTAAGTCATACCAGTAGTAGTTGTAGCCATCGGGGCCTTCCAAATGAACTTTCTTTCCATCGAAAAATTGGGCCTGAATGAGAGTATTGGACCGTATGCCTAATCGGTGATACAGGCTGACTTTGGTCCAATATCATCTTAAATTCAACTTCGCAAATTCAAGTCGCGCCTTCCTGTGGTGGTCGGTAAGCCTCGGAGCTCTCCTCATTGCTGCCCTGGCAATGCTGCTGCTCTTTTTCACGGCTCCCCATAAAGTAGTTTTGGACTCAGAGACACCAACTCTGATCGAACTTTGTTCACAACAAGGCTTTGTCCGAAATATTTAGTTTTTGGCATTATCCTCTCGTCATTCGCGGTTAGCTATCGCGGGCATCCTGTCCTCGTGAGGGTTCTGTAATCTTCGAATATTCTTTAACGGAGCTGAGGGATCTCACGATTCTCCTCCTAATTGCCGTCGTGAGCCCTGTACTCGAAATTCTCGATTTTGTGTTCTCTCTTCTAAAGGGAGATGACCTCGCAATGAAAAGTGCATATTGCCTCCAAACATATTTGCGACACATTCTCTCCCATACAGATCCCTCCAAGTGCAAATCCTGCTGCACTCGATTTCGAAACCTTCGCGCTGTCGGGGTCATCTTATACTTATGAAACGGAGAAAAAATAGGAAAATAACTAATACAAAAGTTAGTATAAAAGTTGAGTAAGCCAAAGCACGTACATATATGTATTTATAAGGGCTATTGAGATGATGAATCCAATGGTGGTGCCAGAAGGTTATGTGCTTGGCTGCCTGTCCTGTAAACCAAATTCGAGTGTGATCTTATAATTATGCAACGCATTGTATAATTCCTGTCGCTCTGCCGTAATGGTAGACTATGGGCTCCGCTACATAGGAGCAGTAGAGTCTTTTATTGTAGTCTTGTCCTTTTAAACACCAAGAACGTTGTTCCGATTACTGTGCAATGAAAAACAAAAAATGCATGCCCCTGAATTATTAGAGGTGTAGAGCAGGTGATTCATTTGTTTCCATATATCTTGGGAGATACAAAGGTAATAGTGCGATACAGACATGTTTCATTTTTGTCATGAAAGATTGGCACTGGGTAGCATTTGGGCTTACTTAACTGTATTGCGTCGAGAATGGAATATCTCTGAAAGTTTGTGGATAAGCTGAAAAACCGCTCTCATCCGCGTCAGCACCACAAAGCAAGTTGACCATCTCGCCGTGCTCGCCCTCGTTCATCCTACTACCATAAGTAAAGTCCTGAATGTTTTTTTTTGCTATTGAGAAATTCTTCGAATTAACGCCCCCGATTTTCCAGAAGAGGCTAAATCTTACATAAACCCCTGTAGTACGCACTGAACTAATCCATTTGCAACGTTCTCCGGTGCGTAGTCGAAAGTGATGCACTATCACACACGCGT